AATGCTTACGATTTGTGATCCTTCCCATCATACGCATGATGTGGGTCGTAGACTGTTGGAGAAGGTGCACAGTGTGGGTCGCTCCTCCGTCATACCGAAGTTGAAGACCAAGCATTCGGGTGCGCTCCACCACGGGGACGGTTTCTCCGTTCTCGAAGTGAAGTTGAATGTCTACCGTCGGCGTTTGAGGGTTGGATTTTCGTTCCCGCTAGAGTGAGCGTACGAGAAGGAGTTGAGATTTTTCGAGGGCACACTTGAGGTTGCCTGCCTTGAGGTATTGTCGCACTGAATTTAATGGCTTCCTGGAGCAAGGCCTCCTTGTCTCCGTCCGAGCCCGAGGTCGTCCATATGGTCAGGTAATCCGCGTACAGAGAATGTTTTATCTGTGGAATGCATTCTAGCTGTGCCGGGTATTTGCACATCGCTAGATTAAACTGAGTCGGCCACAGCACGGAGCCTTGTGGTGTGCCCTTTCCCGGGACCTCAAAGACGTCCGCGGGGATGGATTTGACGCCGATGTTGGCTGTCCGGTGCGAGAAGTCTCGGACCTATTGGTAGGTTCGCCGTCCATAGTTGGTCTAGGCCAGGCTGTGAAGGATCAACGAGTGGCTCACGTTGTCGAACGCTTCCTTGACGTCCAGGACCACGACCGCTTGCGTGGTGGTGCGCGAAATGTTGTCGAGGTTGTCTTCCTTGAGCTGGATGAAGACGTCCTGCGCAGACAGGTGGGCTCGAAAACCAAACATGATGTGTGAGAAGATTTTCGTGTCTTAGACGTGTGTTTGCGAACGGTTTAACACGACATGTTCGAAAAACTTGCCAGGACACGAAGTTCGGGAGATGGGCCTGAGGTTGTCCAGGTTCTGTGTGTTTTCATTCTGCAGGAATTTTGCTGGACGCCCACGCGTCGTTTAAGTGTTGGGTTAGGGTGTAGTATGAAATTTCGTCGAGGATTGTGAGGAGGCGGTTCTGAATTTCGTCTTCGCCCGGCGATGTGTTCCGCGTTAGGTCTTGTGCTGCTCGTACAACCTCGGCCGCAGTGAAAGGTCGGTCCAGTTTTGGGTTAGGTAGGCCGTCGTAGTTTGGGTATACGGCGCTGGGTGCTTCCCCAATGTAGGTGTTGATCAACTTCTGCAGTATTTCCTTGTTTGTGCCCTTGAAGTTGTGTACAATCTTGCGGTGTGTCTGACTGGTGTGGTTCTTGTTCTTGGTCGGATCGAGCAGAAGGCGGATGAGCGACCATGTCCTCACCGCACCGAGCGTCGCCTGGAGTTTGGTCATGTGGTGCCAGTTGGAATGGGCCAGCTGCGCTTTTCTCGTCAGCTGCCGCTGCGGAGGCTGGCGTTGCATCTGGATGGGACTTCCACCGCTGTATTTGCGTTTTACTTCGGTCTCTCGTCTGCCCAATGCTTAATTTTTTTGGCGAAAAGCATGGAGCAACAGTTTGATTTCTAATTTCGAATGCTATGGTATTTTTTCACGACGGGGAAAACTTTGAGGAGCGCGCTGCGTAAAGTGGTATTCTAAGCATCGTAATAAGAACTTCAGTATATTTTTATATATATTATCTAGAAAGCTAGAATAGTTTAAGTAGTTATTTTTTAATTCAGGTTCTTCAGTTATTTTAAGTGAACTGATTTAGAAGACAAAATAAAAAAAAAAGTGCATTGGACATGAGTACAGCGTAACCATACATCTTGGCTTCGCTTCAGAAACTACAGCCTGTCCACAAACACTTTAACCCAACTTTCGACGGTCCGCAAATCATCGGGTTCTTAACTACACAACCCTTGATTGTCTCATCCATGAAACATTGTTTTACTCTGGTGTAATATAATTTGTTTTAAAGATTCGTTTTCTCGAAAAGTACTGATGACTGCATTGAAATTGACTGACAGATACGCATTCTTTCTAGAGTTACTTTTATTAGCGTGATTAACAATCTTTCTTTCCCTTGATTCTGTCATTTTCAGTGAATCATTTTCAAGGGCATATATTTATGTGTTGTTTTGCTCATATATGTGATTCTTTTCACGTTTGCAATAACCTTCTATGAGGTCGCACTATGTATAAATAAAGAAATATCGCGCTGGATTTACTACATAGGCGCCCGAAGGTGGTGGAAGATTTAACCAAAAATGTATAAAGATTACTTCATCTCTAAATCATGAAACATCAAATTTATCGAACCAAACGTTGGGCTCAAATGACCTGTTGACGTTTTAACATCATTACAGAAAAAAAAACCCGGACTGGGGAAAAGACGAATGACAACACAACACACAAAGTCTGAAAAATATTTTTTTACCGGAATGTCATTTCCAGTAAAAGTATATTTGACTGGATTATGGGACCCTTTTCGCTTCCAGTAAAGCAAGAATTTACCGGAAGATCCCCAGATTGGCCGGAATTTACCGCGTTTTTTCTTTCTTTTTTTGTACGTGAACGGAAGGCACTTAGGAGGAAGCCTGTGAACCAAGGTTGGTGTGTGTTTACCAGATGCTGGATGATTCGGTAACAATAAAAGTGGTTAGTTCATACAGACCTGAAGGTTCTATGTATTTATTTAGCAGGGTCAATGCCAGTGAAACAATTTGCAAAGCTGTAGACAAAAGCAATCACACCAAATAGGAACAATCGAGTTCTTTCTCGAAAAGGTATCTTTCAAGGTACTCACAATGCCGCTGGGTAAATTCCTAGACGTTCGGTAGTTCAACTAATAAGACCGCGCAGGTGCACCACACGGACACACACACGTATACTTGTCAGTAGCACGTTTAGCGAAAACCACGAACGCGCGGTACCAACATCCGCCGCCATTGACAAATCACGGGCACAGTCACGATGTCGTCTCTGATGTCGCCGCGGATACACCAGGCGGACACATACACACTGTCAGTAGCACGCTCAGCGAAAACCACGAACGCGCGAAACGAACATCCGCCGGCGTTGAGAAATCTTGGGCACAGTCTCTTTCGCTCGCTGGATGCTTGTGAAACCGGACGGACAAAGAGGCGTAAGAAACAGGTCACTGCAAATTATTTTCTCGTCGGCGGATAGAGAAACCGGTTTTCTTAATAAAAAAAAAATTAGGTATCAAAACGACCCCCTCGCATTTTCCCCACAATCCCAATGCGAGGGAGAGAGGGCGCGTGGGGACTCGTCCTTGGTACGAGGCACCATGAATACACACCCAGTCGCCGGCTCCTCTCGCCTTCCCCATCCCCTCGCATAGGCTTCCAGTGAAGTTCGGTAAAAAGGGAAGCAAGTCACCCTTTCGGGTAAGATTTCTAGCAAAATCGGGTCGTCTGGTAAACGAAAGTGGCTGCCGGTGACATTCCTGCAAAATCTGGAAACCCGATGCCGGTGAAATTCCAGCGAAATTCGTTCGCCGGCAAATAATCTAGCAAAGACTGGTAAACTGGATTCGGATGAAAACGGGTGAATGTGCCCACCTTTTTCGATCGTCAAAATAGTTCGCTGCACGCACATCTTGAGGACTGCAACGTCGTCCCCAGCTAAAACTCGCACTCACGAGAATGCCGCCCGAGTAGTCTCGTACCTGCTCTGGCCCCGACTTTTGCCTGTCGCAAATAGCAAGTTGGCGGTGATCGCTGCCCACTTTTTTGTATCCTCAAAACGGTTCGCTGCACGCACTTCTCGCAGAATTGCAACGTCGTCTCGAGCTAAAACACGCACTCACGAGAATGCTACTGCACTGGTGGCCACAATTACAAACTAAGTCCTTCTGCTCGTTTTGGCTTCCTTGCCTTCTTTGCCTTTAGCCGTTCCCCTTGCGTTGGCTTCCAGTGAAGTTCGGTGTGCGTCAAACTATAGTTGCTTCCGGTAGGATTCCAGCGACGGGTAATCGAAAGTGGTTCTGGTAAAACTTCCAGCAAAACTGGCTGCCGGTAATATTTCCACCAAAGTGTGGTAACGTACGCTGGTTTCGGGTGAAAATGAGTGAAAATTAACCCCTTACCACCGAATGTCACTGAAAGTTTTTGCCGGATTTTTCAATAGGGCAGTCTCTTGAATTTGTCTTAAATTATCAAAACCTGTTTTTGTTATACTTTGCATGTACAGCATTCATGTCACTGTCGGGCTTATTCGGGTAAAATAAAGTGAAGGATAGGTAATCCAATTCTATTTTATTTCCTTTTCACCCATTTTTCAGTGGTAACAGACTCCAGAATAGAACGATCTTTTAAGATTTAAAAAAAAACATATGCTCGAGTCCCACTACAGAAACAAACAAAAACAAGCGACACGGACAAGCCTTCATTATATGCAGCATGCGCGCAATGGTACCTTTAGCAGGCATTTAGTCGTCTGGTGCTCATGAAGTTAGCGCGAATGATTGCAAGGCAGCCAAATATACCATCGCCCGCATGATGCTCGTGTTTAAGCACAGCTTCCTTCAATCTACACAGCCTTACAAATCGCGAAAGAATCTGGTTTCAGGCTTGTCACTGTTTTTTTTTTTTTTTTCTTTGTGGCTATAGTGGGACTCGCGCATTAGCGCTAATTTTCCCGCAGACAGAACTAATTGTTTTCTTACTTTCGACTTTGGGGGTTTCATGTATTCATACTTTCAATATGAATGCACCACCTTTGGGATCCTCTCTAGTAAGTTCCAGCGCAGTACGTCGGGAGACCGAGCTTTGCGTACTGTCCAAAGTGGAACCGAAGCGTAGAAAGTCTTTCTACAGCGTACACGCTGTAAAAAGACTTACTTTAGAAGTAGAAGAGTCAATTGTGGAAATTATTGAGCAGAAATAAACTGAAGCGCAGCTTGCCTCCACCACATGGGTAAACATGCGGACTCAATTTTTGTTTATATATCATGACTCCTATTTCTGATGTGGAAATATTATTCCAAGAATATTATTAGGACCCCTAAAGCGTGACACAAAGGGAGAGATGGTTGTTTGAAGCAACCACACCAATCAGTTTGTGAACACATTCAGGTAATATATTGGAATCAACTAGAGTGGGTGATGTCCGAAGAAGTGTCCGCTCCCGCGGGGGCCGCAGCCACAGCTGCCCTCAAAAGCCTCAAAAAGACTTCCACGAAAGTATCTAAAGAAAAGGCAAATGCCGTGCCAACGCATCCCAAGGTGTCTGCAATGGTGACTGCATCCATCAGCGCGCTCAAGGAACGTGGTGGTTCATTTCTGCGGGCCATCAAGAAGTACATGTCTGCCAACTACGAGGTAGACGTCGATAAGCTGTCTCCTTTCATCCGCAAGTATCTCAAGCCTGCCGTCGCTGTGGGAGCACTGGTGCAGACCAAGGGCAAGGAGGCTACCGGACCGTTCAAGCTGTTAGCCAAGTCCGACAAGCCATCACCTGCTGCCAGGAAGCCCAAGAAAGATACTGGTGCTGCAAACAAGCGGAGAGCCTCGGCAGCTGCCATTGTGGCCAAGGAGACAAAGCGCGGGAGTGCCAAGAAGTCGCCGGCTAAGAGGGCCAAGTTGGTAGATCCCAAGTCGGCCAAGCCAAAAAAGCCAAAGGCAGAGAAATAGGCCGCAGCACCTAAGAGCCCCAAAAAACCCAAGGCAGCAAAAAAGACCCCTCCTAAGAAGCCTGCTGCAAAGAAGACTTCATCCAAGAAGTAGGTATTCTCTTGAAGATCCAGGGCTAAAAACAATGAACCTGCATAATGGTATAACAACTCTGCTGAACAAATTTACCTGAGTAAGAAGTTAGAAATATAGAACTTGAAATCCTTACCTGTGCCGGTTGTCCGCTAACGAAATGCGTCGGATGAACGCAACAGGCTTAAGATTGTGGCAAGTAAGATTGCAGGCGGCCACGACAGGCACTTCCCTCGATCTGAGCAATTGGAGACATTATTTCTTAGCTAGAACAGCTGCACTCTTTTTCTTGGCGAATTATCAGTGCACGATTAATATGTTTAACTAATAAAACATTAAAGGTTAAATTGAAACGAGAACAAAACGGATATGTTGCAGCCCCAAAAATTTCGTTCTTGACAGGATCTTCTACGCCCTAGTACCGCATTCACCTCGTGAAGAGTGGTTTTGCCTTCAGCTCTATCGCCCCCTGGCGCACTAGAAATGCGACTGGGCAATGAAGACTTCTTTCGAATGAGTAAAGAAGCTTAAAATAACTCCCTAAATATTTTTCTCAAAGAACTATTTTAGGGTGGAAATTATGGACAAGCCGAAAAACCTCTAAAAAGGCCTTTTACGACAGTATTTTTTTATTTTTTGAGTGTGTGTTGTTTTTCTGGACAGTTATTTTCGGCAATAAGTTGTGTTCTCCTTTGTAATTTCTGTTTTTTAGCGTATCTCTTCTATACACCTTTCATCAGCGCTAGTTCGGGGTGTAAGAGATCTTCATGGTGCTCGCAGCTCCCAGTGAGCGAGCGAAGGCCGCTTTCTTGTACGGTAAGTGTCAGAGGACGAAAACGTTTCGCCAAAGTTTTCGGGCGAAGTTTCGGCGGCGACCTAGGGGCTCCACTACGATTCTACGCTGGGTGATCCGCATCGACAAAAGGGAATCCCAAAGAACAAGCCATCGAAAACACCTGTGTTATCACCGAAGCTGATGCTGAAAAATGCGATACTCTGTGCCTTCTTTGTAGACTCCAAGCTGTCGACGCGGAGAGCACTGCTGACATTCAGAGCTAACCATATCCGTGGATTACACGCGGGTTATTCGCGAATACCTGACGTAAACTGACGGATGCGGAAAAAGATGAATCAGATTTGGCGGATTGCGGATCAGATGCGTATATCCGTAGGCCCGGATCCACATTTTTTTCCCAGGCGGCGCCTAAACGTCTGCGACCGCGCAGTGTAGAGTGAATAAAGTGAGCGATTCTCTAAAGTACATCATCGAATTTATTACGGGAACAAACCATAAAATCTGCAAATCAGGGAACAGATTTTTTTTTGTTTACGTCAGGAGAAATTTGATTATCACCAAACATCGCTTCAGTTCGTTTTATCACGTTAAAACTGCTGTTCTTAGAACACGTACATAATACAGGAGCATCAGTCGTCCCGCGTAAGTGTGCTCTTTTTTGGCACGGAAAAATTGGAAAACGTTCTATATTGCAAAGAAAACCATAAACGTCCCAAAACGTACAAGTCACAAGAAAGTAGAAACCTGCAAGTAGCTCCTTCGTCGACAAGTATAGCGAGCGCACTGTAGGGGTGAAACTTGTGCCAGCAGGAGTTTCCGTGTCTGATTCTTGTAGTGCAGTTCGTGCATGCCACCCCAGCATGAAGCGCACCAACGGAGAGAGACTTCTCATTAGTAGGTATTAGCTTAAGAATGGCGAACTAGTCGGAATCCGTCCATGTTGACGATATTCCGTTTCTTCTTTCCAGCAACCTCGACAAGTGAAACATTGGTTTGTGTGCGTTTCGTTTTCTCGACAGTTGGCAACGAGTTGTTTTTAAGCATATGGTTTCGAGCATACAGCTTTAAAATGACACCTACCGGCTGTTTTTCCAATCATCTCCTTGGTGGTAGAGTGGCAGGCGCACTTCCGCACAGGTTATAACCCTTCTGCACAACCTTGCATGCCACCCATATCACATTTTTGTCTTAAAAAATTATATTATTATTATTATTCATTTCATGACCACGCCCCCGACTAGCTTTCATTTTAAGTGTTTTTTGGGAACCTTTTCCTCAGGTAAGCTTGTTGAGTAAAATTTAAATACCCTGAATGCACCTTCTTTGGTCTTCTAATGTGCAGAATCTTAGCACAATACGTTCATATACCGTCGAATTTATCCGATGCATTACAAATTTCAAAAATTAAATTGTCAACAATAGAATTTAAAAATAGAAGACATTTCCCTCAAGATATGTTTCATCATAACAGGGGCGTCCGAGGTCCTCAGGAGAGGCCACTCTGTAGTTCCCTTTCATATCTCGAACCATTAAGAAAATGTGTTTACGCTTATCTCGTGAAGGTTCGTTAAGCCAACAGGTCATTGAACTTGTTGGGCATGAAAAGATACTGTTCCGGTATTTAGTTCTTTTTTTTTTAAATTCTATTTGGACTTAATGGGAAGAATCTTTTTTCTTTTATAAAAGCCACAGGTATGCAACTGTAGGAATTACGGGAGGGGTGGAATGGAATGGAATGGAATGAAATAGAATGGGAAGAAATCATGTTTCACACCAGCTACGTGCAGGAGATTGTTGATTTTAAAATATCGACATTCTTTGAAGCCACATTTGCTGGCAAGTTTTCTAGCAAGACAGTTACTACTGCCAGTAACAGGGTTGGACACGACAAATTCAGCTGAAGTAATATCGTTTGATACAGCTATGGTATTAAGAATGTAGTGCAGGTTTACGTCCAAATATTTTGGCATCTTGAATATGAAACTTTGGGAGCACATTAAAATTCAACTCCAAATTTTGAAAAATTAGGAATCCGACAAAAATAAACTCATATAAACACCGACATCGAGTGAAAAATATAAAATAAGAAAGCACCTTCCGAAATTTATGAAAAATATACTCCAAAAGCACAGAACCCTCATTATCGCATACACATACAAAGATAAAAATTGGGTAAAGATATACAGCTGCTTTAACAACAACGCTGATGTTGCCAGAAAAAAATCAATATTAAGGTGGAGGTGCTTTTTTTTGCATAACACCATAAAGAAACTGTTGTACCAAAGAATGATCGTAAAAAAGACCGCTGTGGCACTATGCCTTCTAGGCATAGACGACTCAACGCGTTCGCTGCAGTCACCCCGAGATCGAGGCTCAGACCACACAATAATAAAAAAAAAGTACAAAAAAGGAAAACAGATGAATTCTGCAGCTATCGTTTAGCGCCTGCGAGTGAAAGGAACGCCTTTAATCCCCTGCCCAAGAAAGCGTTGCCCCCGTGTTCCCGTGGCGACATAGCGTCTTCAGAGAAAAAGATCCTCCTCTCACGCTTCCAAGATCCGTCGCAGCACGATCCGAAGTTTCTACTACAATGGAACGCAGCGGACAATACGAGTCGTCCCAGCCTATTCAGAGCTCTGACAATGTCACGTGACGACGAACAATCGCGTCCCTGCACCCTTCCGAAGGTCACGCGACATTGAAACGGCTTTGGATTGGATGTGACGGCTCGTAGGGTCCTCTGCGGCTCATCATACGGTGAAATGGTGTATAGCGTAGTAAAAGATGTTGCTGCGCCGCGCCAGGCCGAGCCGCCTGCCTTCGAAAGCCGCCGGTTTAATGATGGGTACATGATATCCCTTCCTCCGCTCTTAAAGGACACGCACGGCATGAAAGAGGAGGAGGAGGGTTAAGAGAAGGGGGAAAGGAGGATAGATGCTGCGTTAAAGGCGCATTGCAAGGGCGCGGTGTTCCGCTAACAACGTCTTTGGCGGATGCCGTGGGCGAAGTTTGTTCGGAATTGGGACACAAAAAAGAGACGTGTCGTTATAGGAGGCACAAAAAAAAATAGTGAACAAGAAGGAGCTAAAAGTTGAGGATGATATGGGGGTGTTGTTTGAATTCTGGTGTTCACAGATTTACGGGCTTTTGAAGGTAGTGATATCCGTGGAAGGCTGACTCGTATAACTTTTGGGTGACGTTGAATTGAGCTGACTTATGCAAAGGCATGAGGGCGTACAGTCGCCGAATTTTTTTAATAATATCACGCGAGCGTCGACCGCCGGAACGGCCAGCCCAGTGCCGCGGAGAAATGCGGCGTCGCGGGAGAGATTAGGCGCGTGCGCACAAAGCTCTCTCCGGTGCGAGTGTCGCCTGCTAGGCTATTCTGTTGTCCGCACACAGCCCCTTTTCCTTATCTGCTGGCATAGCTGACCGCCTTTAAGCAAAGATCGGAACAGCGCTTGCTTGCGTGATGCTGCTCAGGCGTGAAAGAAACCCAACGAGGTAGAGGGGCTTAGAGCGATAAACCGGGGTTCCGGTCTGCACTCGAAAGTGACCCCCATAAGGCGGCTGCCATTGTACGCAAATTTGACTACTCGTCACGTGACCAAACCAAATACGTAACGTCACAGGAAAGATGGGAGCGCCCATGCAGCGGCTGGCCCCAGCTGCGCCAGAGCTGGTCGGATGCTTTGTTGGTTGTCGTTCGTCTCGGCGAGTTGATTTCAGACGCGGAAGCCGTCATATTAGGCCGGTCAAAAGCGACTTCAGAGTTCACCGTGGTGTCTGACGTAGGTATAACGTGAAAACACGGAGGAACGGTGTGCATTTCGCTGGTGATCGACGTTGATATTGCCACGGAAGAGAGAATGTGCCCTACGTTGCTCGGACATCGGATTGATTTGGATAATGCTAGGATCAAATTTAAGGCGACGTTTGAGTGCTCTGGTTGACCATCAGAATCTTCGAGGTCTGCGGTGAAGTGTGTACAATATATTTGGACACACAGTTTAGCGTCGCAAATTGGGTGAGTTGTGCTTGGCAGTGGGCAATCATGGTGCCGCTTCGTTCAAATGACCGAAGGCTCACTTTGGTTGTGCGGCGCACCGGAGAGCTGCCTTGAAGCTGATAG